AGAGAGCATATGGATTAAGAACTTGAAGTTCAAAAATAGTGTTTAAAGACATATGGTAACTAGCAGAGGAATGAAAACGATATTTTTAGCAAACCCCAGGGAAGGGTGGGGAGACAGATGATACTGTAAGGGAGCTAAATTTCTCACCTTTCATGGCATAGAGTCAACCACTTAAAGTCTGATGATGATGAGCTAAGAAACCAGTACGTAATTATTGAGGCATCATTGTGGACACAACCAGGAAAAGAAAACCTGAAAACAGGAGCCCTTAAAATACAATTTGAAATATGGTGCCAAGTTCGTTGGAGATTTGTTAATTCAAGTGGTGAATTAACCTAAGAATATCACAGAGGCCAGGTGTGAGGTAAAAACATAAACTGTTTCCCTGCTCTTCTCACACTACAACAGTGGACACAGAAGGCGTCTGTGTGTGGGACTTTCTCTCCATGTACCAAGCAAGCAATCAGTTCTGCAGTGGACACAAGCTGAGTGTCCTCCAGCCCAGTTGCATTCCAACCCTGTCTACCTGGAGAGAGCCTCAGATCCCACAGGGTGAGGGCTCCGTCCCACAGGACTGCCCTCCCATTCCAATGCCAATTGCAAGTCCCAGGCTCTTTTACCTGGGCTTCTGACTGACCAGCTATAAATCGGGGATCCCACCACCCCCTCCTTGGGTTTAATTTGCTAGAGCGGTTTACAGAACTCAGGGAAAGACTTATTTACATTTTCCAGTTTATTATGAAAGGTATGACAAGGGATGCAGATGAAGAGATGTCTAGAGTGACGTATGCGGGAAGGGGCATGAAGCTTCCATGCTCTCTTTAAGAACACCACCCTCCAGGAATCTCCACGTGTTCAGCTGTCCAGAAGCTCTTCGAACCCTGACCTCTTGGGTCTTTTGTGGAGACTTCATTGGACAGGCATGATTGAAGCATGGAGAAATGTCATTACACAAGAAGGGCATGATCTAGTCCTCATCGACTGGGTGGGGAAACCCAGCAAAGCCTGTCTGTTCTGTCTCTTCTGTCGATTCTTCTTGGCCTCTCTGTACAGTATTCTTCTCTCCTAGGAATGGGGCAGGACTCCTGGAATGGGAGCCTATGAAAAACAATCAGACAAGCAGATCCGAGAATTTATTTATAGCCAGCTCCAGGAGAGAAAGGCTGAAGAAGATTCCTGCCCTGGGGAGAAAAAGGAGCAGATTAAAGGAAGGGGAGGAGAAGGGCAGAGAGAGAGTCTGTTTTCTGAGGCCTTCTCCGCAGGCCTAAAGAACCCCAATGTTATAACAAAGGCCACGGGAGTTAGAGGCAGCACATAAATGAAGACACGTATAAAAAATAATAATAATAATGTAAAAGGGAGGAGGCTACTATTGTTTATGACTCAATGTAAAACTTGCAAAGAGAGAGAAATGAGTGAAGAATAATACTTCAATCATTCTTCTGTCTTGGTGTTCACAACATAGATACATGCACGCACACATACACACATATACACACAGAATCAGAATCAGAATGAATGATTCATAAAGATACCACATGTGCATAGATGGACTTCCTGTAAGAATGAATAGAGAAGAGAGGAATAGAAATGTAAGATAATGCAAACAGTTATTCCAGTAGAGAAGGAAACGTTGAAATTATTGAGTGATTGTTCATGGAGTGGTTTTGGAAGATTCAGGAAGAGTCTCCTGTCCTTAATGGCCTATTAGCCCTTTTTGTGACGTGTGAACACTAACACCCTGAAGGTGAAACATAGTAACAGACAGTATTGAGACCAAAGCTATAATTGTTGAATACATAATCATGACAGAGTAAATTAACTATTTCACTTATATCAAATGGTTTAATAAACTCTGAAATAATATGCATTGAAAAACTGGCATTTGATGTGGAACATTGTCTTAGATACTGTATTTTATATTTTTAAAATTTATGTATGTATTTATTTTGGTGAACAGGTGAAAACTGCCATTATCAGTGAACTTCCAAGTGAAATGCCTTTGCACTGTCTGAGTTTTAGATCTTCGAAAGCTCAAATGAGTTATCATTCTCTTAGATAACTATATTTTAGATTTTTAAATTTATGTATGTATTTATTTTGGTGAGCAAGTGAAAACTGCAATTATCAGTGAACTTCCAAGTGAAATGCCTTTGCACTGTCTGAGTTTTAGATCTTTGAAAGCTCAAATGAGTTATCATTCTCTTAGATACTATATTTTAGATTTTTACATTTATGTATGTATTTATTTTGGTGAGCAAGTGAAAACTGCAATTATCAGTGACTTTCCAAGTGAAATGCCTTTGTACTGAGTTTTAGATCTTCAAAAGCTCAAATGAGTGATCCTGTCAAATCGTGTGGGTTAACATGGATGAGAGATAAGTAAATAAAACTCCACAATAATGACTTGTGTGGTACCACACACATCGGGCTTAAAAATAAAAAAGGGATTGAAGGCTGTGCAAAGAAATGGAATTTTTTAAAAGATAAGATAGGAGTAAATATAGAAAAGGTCTTAAATGACTTCAGGCAGTGAAGCAAAAAGCACATTCCCTTGCTGTTTCTTCTTGTAGAATGATACCCTAGACCAGGCTATTAGCTGTGACTAGGAGCCCTTTATAGTTCACGAAACTATTAATTTACAGTTTACCCTTTCAGCTAAGATGTTTAAGCTATTCTTTAAAAACTTGAGATAATTTGACTATTTAAAAATTCAATTACCTTTGCAGTATCGAAACAGATCTGTTTTGTAAGGTGTTTGCCATTTCAGCATCTCACTGCAAGTGACAGGGTGGTTCAGTATTTAACCAAAGATTATGGCCAGTTGACCTGGTCTTCAACCCAGCGATGTGCCAGGCTGCACATGGAGGGCACCGGCTGAGTATCACCAGCCAAAGGACCCTTTCAAATGACACCAGGAAAGCCTGTCCTGTTCAGAAAAACCACATTTCCAGGAGTTGGAATAATGCTAAACTACACGGTCTGCAAAGTTTCCTCTAAGTAATATCTAAGGCACTGTGAGTCTAACCTTGGGAACATATTTAACAAAAGACTATTTAAGAAGGGGAGATTTCCTCATTGTGTTCTCTCTCTTCCTCTCTCTAGTTAAATGTATATATTCCTCAGGTATTTGAACTCACTTTGCTAAACACGGGACACAGAATTAAGAGGCATTAATACTTTGTCCAAATTTAGATAATAAGATCATGTATATATTAAATACATATTTAACTCTCCTCTGGCTATTTTACTAAATATATATTTATTAATAGAAATGAGTATTACATGTTGATCTCTGAAGATCCCAAAATAAATAAAAATAAATAGTGTCCAACCTTTCAAGTAGCTCTCAGTACACTGGGGAAAATGAGTGAAAAAAGTGAAGTTGGGCCGGGCGCGGTGGCTCAAGCCTGTAATCCCAGCACTTTGGGAGGCCGAGACGGGCGGATCACGAGGTCAGGAGAGCGAGACCAGCCTAGCCAACATGGTGAAACCCCGTCTCTACTAAAAAAAATACAAAAAATTAGCCGGGCGAGGTGGTGGGCACTTGTGGTCCCAGCTACTGGCTGAGGCAGGAGAATGGCGGGAACCCGGGAGGCGGAGCTTGCAGTGAGCTGAGATCCGGCCACTGCACTCCAGGCTGGGCGACAGAGCGAGACTCCGCCTCAAACAAAACAAAACAAAACAAAACAAAACAAAACACAGAGCACTTTTAAAAGTTTGAGATTGCTGGGTCAAACGTTGTGCACATGTACCCTAGAACTTAAAGTATATAAAAAAAAAGTTTGAGATTTTGACTAAAGTTAATTTATGCTTTAGCTATACCTCCTGTGAAAGTTCTGAAGATCTTACTGATTTTCTATATTTGGACAAAACATTAATGCCTATTAATTCTAAGTCCCATGTTTAGCAAAGTGAGTCCAAACACCTGGGAAATCAAGGCACTTTCCCCCAGTCATTGATTTTGCTAATGGTAACAATTTGAAGGTCTCCTTAACTCTTCTTTTCTCCCAGTTGTCTTTGCTCTAAATGTTGCCCAGTGTATTTAAAACCTCTAACATTCAAATTCTTTTCCACAGCCAGTTCCCTTTCTACTTCCCTGGCCTCGTCTTATACTGCGTATGATAGCCACACTGGCCAACAAAGATTGCTGTCTCTTTTATACTTGATGTTTCCCTCTTCCTAAAATACTACTCCCTCCGACCTTTGTATGACTGGCTCCTTCTTATCCAGATCTCATCTCAAATGGTCTCCACAGAGAGTGCTTTACTGATACTCAAACTAAATAGCAACACCCTTGCCCCACAATTACATTTCATTCCATGTTTTCCCATTATTACAATTTAAGGTTTCATAACCTTTGTCTCTGTAATTACTGTGTTTATCATCTGGTTTCCTCTACTTGAAATAGGTCCATGAAACAGAGTGTGGCCTCTCCAACCCTGTATCTCCAACACTCTGAGCAGTGTTGAGCCGTAAGTTCTAAAAAAAATGTTTGTTGAAGGAATAAATAATTCTAGTTCCCACAAATTATGCAAATGGTAAAGTAAAATCTGTCTAAATATTATGAGGGCACCAAGACAGGTACCTTTGTAAAAGGAAGAAATAATAACCATGTAAGCTGAAAACTCTACATTACTGACTCCTTATAAGAGGACTTTAAAGAGAGTAAAATATAAATCGGATGAGGAAGGTATAATGCTTTCATATGTTTTGTGAATGTTTAGTTTAACCTAAGTCATATTAGGTTGGTGCAAAATAATGGTGGCTTTGACATTACTTTTAATGGCTAAACTGCAATTACTTTTGCACCAATCTGATAAATGTAACCTTTTTCCAGGTGGATGTCCTAGTTGGTTAGTGATGCTTCTTCCATTATATTTGAAGTCATTGATGTTGTCCAGGAAAAGAAAAGAGCCCAGGACAGAGTTTTTGGAGAATATGAACAGGCAGAGGAGGATGAAAATAAAGCCAGAAAGATGAATAGGAAATCAGGAGAACAGGGGGATATGGGAATGTTGGTGGGGGTTACCTATGCAGTTCTAGTAAAGAAACCAAAGGGCAAAACAGAATTTCAGAAGGGGGCAAGTGATCAACACTATTATCGCTATGAAAAAACTAATACAGGTAAGGACTGAGCTATATGTATCACTGTAACTCAAGCTGCTATAACACATAAATCCTTGATTGACGGTGGTTTACCCAGTGGAAGGTTGATTCTCATGAGCAGAACAGTCCAGGTGATCTTGGTTGGCAGGGAGCCTTATAATAATCGGAGACCAGGTATGGAAGTCTGTTTTTGTGTCACTATAACGGGATGCCCAACAGTGGGTAATTTATAATGAAACGAGATTTAATTGGCTCTGCAGACTGTACAGGAAGTGTGGTACCCACATGTTTCTGCTGATATCCTCAGTAGTTTCCAGTAATGGCTGAAGGGGAAGGAGAAACAGATGTGTCACATGGCAAGAGAGGAAGCAAGGTGGGAGGTTCCACGCTCTTTGAAACAACCAGATCTAGCATGAACTGACCTATCACCAAGGCAACTGCGCTAAACTATTCATGATCCCTTGTAATCCAAACACCTACCACCAGGCCCCGCCTCCAACACTGGGAATTATATTTCCACATGAGATTCTGAGGAGACAAACATCAAAATTATATCATTAGGTTCCTTCCTTCTTTTGGTCTCACTCTATTTTAGGGTTCCAGAGTCCCCTGCATTCAGCTACTGAGTGTGGAAAAGAGACAAGAGAAGTCACATGTGCTTTTTCTATCCCTTAGCCTAGAAATTATACACATTGCTTCTACTCATATTCCCTAGGCACAAGGTCCCATGGCTATGCAAAGGAGTCAAAAAATGTAGTTGGTAGAGGCAGTTATTTCTTGGATATAGATTTATATTATGGAAGAAGAAGCAGAAATAATGATGGGTAGTGACCCATCTTCTGGGATAGTTTAGAAATTTGTGCAGATAAGTCATTTTCAGTTCATAAATATTGATTGATCTTCTAAAAATATAGGACTACGTGGTAATTTGTGTCTGCTCCCAAAGACTTACAACTTATTAGAAGAAATAGGATTTATAAACAAATTATGGTACTTCAAAGATATTTCTGATTTATTAGTGTACATTTTGGAATAGAAAAATAGATGAGAACAACAGAAAACAAGTATGTGTGTATTACTAACCCAGCAAAAACATAAACCCTTTTTGCTGCTACATGTTTTCATTTTCAGAATAAGCTTGCATAAATTCTCCTCATTCTTAGATCAAACTCTGCTGCTAATTGAGTTGAACTACTTGTATATGAATGTATCTTGGTGTGAGATGTAGCCCATTAAAAACCTAGCATGGATTTCTTAACTAAAATACTGTATTCCTAATTTATGCTGATTTCCATTTTTTTAATCGAAAAGTAATATTTCAGTTTTCTTATTGGGTAAACAAAGTGTATTCTGGCTTAGAACACTTTAAAGTTATTTCAGAAGAGGTTACAGGGGAAGAAAGATCCAGAAAAGTGGAATTTTTCATGAATCATTAAGTTAATAATTTTGGAGGGGGAAGATATGTCTAGAAAAGGCTTAAAACAGAACCATTAGATTTACTTTAAATATTTTTATTTCAAATTAAGTAGATGAAGATGGTATATAAATCAGGAGTTAGCAAACCTTATATTGAAAAGGGCCAGACAGTGAATAATTTAGGATTTGCAGAATGCATATAATCTTTGTCATAAATATTCAATTCTGCCATTACAGCATGAAAGCGGACATAGACAGAGACAGGGCAAAAGCATAAACCAGTGAGTGTTAATGTATTTCAATAGAACTTTCTTGATTGACACTGAACTTTGAATTTCATACAATTTTCCTCCATTATACAACATTATTCTTTCTTTGATTTTCCCTCACCATTTAAACATGTAAATGGACCATGCAAAAACAGGTGGTGGGCTGCATTTGGCCCATAGGCTGTAACCCCTGGTATATAGAGCAATTAACATAAAAATACAATTTAAAGCTAATTTAGAAAATGTTCCCCAAAGCTGTGTAAATTATAACACATTAATTATTATATTCTACATACTCATTTAGGGTAGAAATTTATAAAATAGCTTTTTCAAATATATAATATATACGATCATGTTATGTACTATAAAATTTTAACATGAACATTAACACCCCATTTTTTGTGTTTTTTGAGAAGTTTTTGTTGTTATTGACACGAATGAAGCCATAGGAAATTGCCCTAGGTCAGTTCAAAGGAGGAGACATTTTCAGTCTTGCTCATGTTCAGCACTTTTCGAAGGCCTTGATGCTCAATTAGTCAATTAGTAGCCACCAGATGGAGAAGGGTATTTCTTCACAGAAACACGTGTTGCTATGTGTGCGATTGAGAGGCTGAGAGATGCTGTGGGGTGTCAGACCTCTCCGTGTTCCTTTTAGATGTCACCAGCTCAATCACCAAGAGCAATGGACCATAAGATACTTATGTATCTTCTGCCTGGCTTCATGCTTGATGCTTCTGATCAGACTCAACGTTTCATTTCCAGTATCACAGATGACAGAGTAAAATGCAAAATGTGTCGCTGCACATGTCAAAAGGTGCAGCGAAGAAAAGACAGCTCTACTTCTGCATTTGGATTCACAGCAATTGAAAATAAATGCCCATTTCCAATTCTTTGATCTTGTTTAAATTTATACGTTTGATATCTGTTTGTTATTATCTACACGTGTTCAGGGATTATTTGCCTAAGCTGTAAAATTAAAAAAAAAAAAAAAGTAGAGATTTAGAAAATATGCTGCTAATGACTTAATTCAGATTCATTGTTGAACCACAATATTAAAAGTACACTGTTAACATAATGTACAATGTCAGTTTTGTTTGAAAATTACCTACTTGAAATAATAGACTGATAAATTGTCACAACTGGAGAAGACCTTCAAGCGTCTCTGCCAACCTTCTAGACTACAATTATTAATTAATCATTTCTGGAACAAAAGCTCCTAGAAATGGCTTTTAAAATTGTGTTTTCTGCTGCAAGATTCTACTGAATGGAAGTGGGAGTGTGAAGCCTAGGAAAAAATATATTCATTTCATGCTTTTGATTAGCTTTGAAATTTTATTTACTCTCTTACCTAGAGGAAGAGTGCCAGTGTATATTCCCTAATCCTCTGCTCAGGAAATTCAACACTTTCTGCAATTAGTACTTGAAAAAGGGTACAAAATTTTAGAAAGCATTAGACAAAACACCAGAACAAAAACAAACAAAAGGCAATTATTGATGTGAAGCAAAAAGTATTCATGCGCTAAATAGTTGCCTCACGATGCGTCTCCTGCCCCATCCCTACACACAGGTACCCCACAGTCGTCAAGATTCAAATGTGATACTCTCTTCCATATTATATTTGAGTCTTCTTTTTCCAGGAAAAGCAGAGTATGTATGGGTGTACCCATAGTAAGGGCAAGGGCTTCCATTGTTTTGCCATTTGGTGAGTTGATAAACAAGTGTGCTGCATTCTCTTGTCTGTTACAGATATCTTCATTGGAGCACTATTTGTAAAGCACACACTTTTCAAGTCTTCTAAAGCAAATCTCTTTGTAACCATCAGAAGGGCTGGAAATGAAAATATGTTTGCAATTGACATAGTGCAGGAACTGGTTAACAGCTTCAAAGAATTTATAAAGAATATTTGTCCCTGAAATGTTACAAATACCCATGGTGAAAAAGACCTGCTTGGAAGATGTTTTCGTTAATATTCATTGTGTTTTACCAAATACAATGAGGATGTATGAGCAATTAGAAACATATGCCTGCAGGTCAGCTCTTGCTTTCTTTGCCAGATCTATTTCACTTCTTGTTCTTCCTCTCCATCATTTTCATTGCCTTTTTAAGATTTCTCGGCCAGGCGCAGTGGCTCACGCCTGTAATCCCAGCACTTTGGGAGGCTGAGGTGGGCGGATCACGAG